AAAGGGAAAAACCATATAACTTGCATGAAAATGCATCTTAAAGGGGAGGCAAGTGTGAAGGTCATCACAAAAAGGAATGTGCGGTAAGTGACGTGTTTGGCATCAAATATTCAAAAAGAAAAGTCCTTCAAGTTGACAAATATGCATTTGAGAAAGTGAAATAAAAGGATTTTGTAGAACTTTGCTAATGAAACGAATATATTGTACTCATAAAACCTGACATGAATAGTACGTACGACGTTTTTAATTATTGCACATTAAGTCAGGCATAATTTAGATTACTTTTTTCTGTATTACATTTGATGATTTTACACTATCTTTGTACAATTGCCCCATTGTCGTTCTTTTTCACAAGGCAATAATCATTTGATAAGGTTAATTAAAAAATCAAGTGAAACGTAATAGTCGATTTGTTAAAATGAAAAAAATGACAACAAATCACTCTTGATCGCTATTGTGAATATTTCAAACAGCTCAAAAGTTTATTTTATTTTCTTAGAATATAGCAAAGTACTCTCGACCAATGAAATTGTAGGATTGGATGCCTCTTAATTGTGAAGAATGAATGTAAATCATGTTCTTAGTAAGGAATTATCCTATTATTTGGGCCTATTTACAGTTCAAAACAAAGAGTTTCTATAAATGAGTTACAACTGCCCCGAAGCACATTTATCAGATTGAAAGGATTTATCACACAGTGATTGAAACTGACTAAAAGTTGATTTGTGAAACAAACAAAAAACTCAAAATAAGTTGAAGTTTACTGGTGCAGTAAAATTGGTACCGTGAATCTTATTATGAAAATATTATTAACTTCAAATTACTATAAAATTAAACAATACCAAAGCAATGCAAAAAAAAAAGAAAAAAATCTTTCAGATAAAAAAATAACCTAAATCTTTAGCTTTCCAAAAACTTTGATTACTTGATCAGCGGTTGGGGAGAATAGTTATTTCCAATACATGTATTCCGATAAAAAAAAAACAGGAATTAAATTTTGAACATGTATATTAAAAAATTTTAAGGGCATTATTTTTGAACATTTCCCTTACATAATAAAACAGTATTTGATGTAAAAAGCCGGACCAAATTATTGGCTGTGAAATAAAATTTAGTTGTAACTCAAATGTATTAATTGATTTAAATGTAAATAAAAAAAAGGATAATTCCTCACTAAAATATTACATGATTTACATTCATACTCACAATCAGGAAACATACAATTCCTACCTTTTCTTTCTACTGTTGTGTCACCTAATATCTATAACGCATTTTTTAAAAAAAATATTTCCCAAATGATAAGAAAGTCCTCACATCACTAAAACTAATCCATAAATGACATGCCGAAAAAGGAAGTCATGCATCAATTATAAACATTGCACTAACAACGAAACTAATTCTTGAATAGATCATTTGAGCCTTGAGCACTTTACAATATTCTAAGTTTGTAAGAGAATGATAATCCCTTACTTCATGATAAGTACTCGCTAACGCTCGTACTTATTCATGAAGAAAGGGATTATCATTCTCTTACATATACGTATTCTGCATTTGAGTGTTTACTCTAATGTGGTATTCAAACGATTCTTTTCATGCATTTGATGGTTACTTGATAGTAAAATACACATATCCCTTTGAAAAAATAATTCAAAAGATGGAGAATATACCGAGGGGGAACCAAGTAATATAAGTAGATGAAAAACAGTCAATACTTTGGCTACAGAGATAACAAAACGACGAAACCAAACAAAACTTAAGTTTGAGCAGCACAAACCTAACCAAGTATCAGGGGTGCTCCGGAGGAATTAGCAGTTCCTTCTCATATTTTTTCCACTTGCCATGCTACTCTTGTTAAAATACGTTGATGTTTCTATCATATGATTACGCATCACACAATAGCGATTTGGTGAATGTCTCTTGTCTATCCCTAAGATACGACCAAATTCGCAAACCATCTCTACATGTAAATTCTGTAATCTTAACAAATGGCCGTAGGGGCCTATATGTAAGTTCGATGTGCAAATATTCTTGAAATAGGCATGCACTGACTTCCAGGCTTGAAATGAGAAGAATACAGAAACATGTAAACATAGTACAAAATTTATATGAACGTAACCATCTTACATTAAAATAAATAAAAGCACCTGCGTACATTAGATAGTTTAAAAACCCAAATTGAAACTCGTTTTAATAAAACAAGGTCGCTATCAGAAATACAGCTGTTCCCGGTATTTTCACAGAACCTTTTCTCCCATTGGTCCTTGAAAAATGATAACTGATATTAAATTGACTTCATTAAAAATGGAATTTGTATTAAATGATTGACTCTGGAATTACATTTCCTGTAATCTCTCGTCTGTGTCAACACCTACAATGTTTTACAATTTTTTACATAATAAAATTTGTTATCTCTCATTATGTAAACCTTTAGGTGTGTGTACAAACATTTATCACAGATTTTGTAGACAACTGTTTATCTCTCAACTTATCTTTTCATGCTAACTACCTACATCAACATATTAGGATAGAAAACAATCTTCCAGAATAATGTTTTACAATGCAAAGGTTGGTTTTTATAAAAAAAATTGGGGTGGTCCAATTCAATAGACTTGTTTAAAAACGTTCATGGAATAGAAATCCAGTAAATGTTTCAGAAGTTGGATCCTATTTTTTGCCCTTTTGGCTTCGCTTCATTATTAAATTTTCTTTAATTAATCATTATTCATAAGCCTGTTTGTTGTGTTTTCACCATAAGTAATGAAGGTCTTTCCCCTACGTTGGGAAAGATCTTTTTGTTTTTCTAATTTATATTTTTGCTATTACTTCTCTTTTCTGATGGAATTCTCACCAAACTATCTATAGCTTTACTTGAATTTGTTGAGATAAAACGAAAACTTCAATAACCAAATTTCTCCTCATTCCTATATACTTTACCAAGCTAACCACATTCACCACCGTATGGTAGTGCGACTCTTTTGACAATATTCAAAGGTGATTTGAATGTTATATGTACTATTAAAATGCATCTGGGTCATTTTTCTTCGCTCAGAAGGAAAAGTAAAATAAGGTATTAGTGGCCTACATATGTAAGACCTGTTGTCAATATCAAAGTTTTCTTTGACCAAAAAAGTCAAAGCTTTTGCAGGATGTTTGATAGTGACAACTGCATGTCATAGAAAACTTTGATGGAATTTCACGGAATAGAATTTAATCTAACTTTTCTTGATACTAAAATGAATTTGTCGAGTATTAGCCAAACATAACACAACGAGAGTGCTATGCAATCATTTTTGAGACGTTTATTGGAGTTTTTTATTTTCTTTGCTTACATTGAACTCCCGCTTTTGCTTTGACCCAAGTTTTTTAAATGAAAAACTTTGATAGTGACAACAGATAGATGACTTTGACGAAGTTTTTTTTACTAAAAGCTATGCAAGGACTTCACTAAATCCAAATATATAAAACAGCCTTCGTGTATTTGATCAAACAATTAAACTTATTTTTCTGATCACATTAAAATCACATTAAAATTTAAAAACGCAACAGTAGATCTTACTTAACCTGTGCTGCCTTCAGAAAAAAAAACCACATTAATTTAAATTGGAGAAAATAGCAACTGATTCAAGTTGTCACCTTTCGAAACTTTGATGATTCCTTCTTGACATCACAAAGTGTATGATCAGACACACTGTCATAAACTCGAAAATGAGGGTTCATTCGTTAAGTTTATTTACAATTACTTTAAATGGAAGCATATTTGATGTAAACAATTGCTACATGGATAAAAAAAAATCTCGTCATCGCATGGATCTATTCATTTCTTACATAAGCATGAAAGGGGTTGACATTTTAGGAACTGCGAGAAATTGTAGATTTTAAAAGAGATGCAAAAGGTACCAAATGGACACGCAAATTCACAAGTCGAAAATAAATTACGGACTACGCCTTTGCAAAAAACGGAAAAGACCAAAAGACAAACAACAATATACAAAACACAACATAGAAAACTAAAGACTGACCAACACGAACTTAAATTTTGATACAAAATAAGTGCTGTATCCGTACTATGAAGATCAGTTGAGACTCCATATGCATGCACAACTTTGCTGATAGAAAGCTGTGTGACTATAACGTCATCAAAACAAATTTTGGGTCGTGAAAGAGATCCCGAGCTGAGGAGAAATTTGATAATTCATAACATAGAATAGGGTTTGAACAAGATTGTTACCGGATTATGTCTCGGGTGCACCTCATGATGATGTTATTGATGGTGAAAAATATATTTTCTTTTTGTGCACATCATTTCAAAATAAGAGAAACTCCATGTTTTCAAAGATTAACTCACTCTGTCCGAACTTTAAGCACTTGATTCCTTGCCAGAAATTGATCTGTCTGTTTCATGTAGAGAAAGTGGATATACCAATATTTGTCTGTGATTTGATTGATGAAGGCAAAACATAGATATATCTAGCTTCTATTTACTAGTCACGAGCATGACATGGTGGTTTCTATGTACATATGATAACAGTATGTCCTTTTGTTTGTAGTTCAGACGAATAAGGATTACTCTCATATATATGTATGTTTGTTCTAGTTATATTATGTGCGCTTGGACGTGTCATTTAGCATCGCCTCTTGGTGTCTCTTGTAACTTAAAGGATGACATACAAGTTATGTGCATTTCTTTAAAAAAATAATAAACAAGATTACTATCGTCTATCCACATTTACAAGTATTTTGCGGTTCTTTCAACCACCTTGCTATGCATCACCATCATTGTCGGCCTTCTGGAGTTATATATGCCACCGAATGGCATCTTTAACATCGGTGTATATTTAGAGAGAGGTTAAACATGTCCAAACTGTTTTTACTTTGTATCTTATTGTTGCTGTCTAAAAATGTCTGATATTGTACTCTGCTCTTTGTGACCCAATTTACTGTAAAATAAACATATTCTTCTTTATTCTTTTTTTCTCTCTACATTTTCTTAATATTTACAGAAAGTCCAGGTTCACTGACACTTTCTGAACAACCAGAGATAAGCGATTCTGTACCTTCAAGATGTTGGAATTTCACTTATGGAGACCCGTCTAAAATGGAATTTTTCAGTCCAAACTTTCCAAGTAATTATTCTATAAACCTGAATTGTGCCCGTTATATTGAAGGTAAGTTTTATGTATACATGTCAATGTTTCATATTCATGGGTTCCATGGATTCGTTTTTCAACTTATACATAGATATATAGGAAGATGTGGTATGAGTGCCAATGAGACAACTCTCCATCCAAGTTACAATTTATAAAAGTAAACCATTATAGGTCAAGGTACGGCCTCCAACACGGAGCATTGGCTCACACCGAACAGCAAGCTATAAAGGGCCCCAAAAAAACGCATGATTCATGTTCATTCGATCTATTAATAATTTGAACTATATTTAAGTTTTGATATTTCAAAATTGTTTTCTGTCCCTTCCATGCAGCAGTGACACTGACTTAATCCATATGAAAATGAAAATTTGTATACATTGGTCAGTTTTATTGTATTTTTTCTCCCAGAGCTCTTATTCAAACTCGCAATATTTATCTGTCCCTTCTTTTTAAACACTGATTGCAATGTCGTTCATCTCAGTTGTCTTCTCAACTAAGCATAGATACACTGTATGGATACTTCAAGGAAGGGAGATTTTGTTAACTTTGAGAGAACTTTGTATTTTATTCAATAATGTTGATTTACTTTCAATATATGATATAAGTTTGATGATTTTTATGACTTCATTAATTGGAAGCAATCCATAGTTCCGTTTTATTAGGAGTAAAGCCAAGGTATATTTATGGTGATGATACAATAATAATAGCCCTTTTTTTTATAACTGTCAGCTAAACATAAGTTCATAAATACATTTTCATAAAAATCAAAATAAAAATCAGACCAAACTAGTGAATCTTCTGTTTGTTGTCAGTAAACCCAAGGAAGACAGGTAAATGAAACAAAGATAAAGATATATCTAAATCATGATGAATAACTTTACGACTATGTTTGACGTATTTGATGAATTGCAGCTAATATACATTAGCAGTACTCATTTGAACTTTCTTTTTCTTTTAACATATAATGGAAGTATTGACCTTTATTTCATAGATGAGTCCTATGCTTAGTGATTATTAGTTAAAAAAGTCGAAAATTTCGGATTTGATTAATTGCGTTTTCAGTTCATAAAAGATTCCGATTCTTTTCACTCCCGGGCATGTTTGTAAATATACATCGAATCGCAATATTTCAACTGACATCACTATACTTCATGTCCATATTGAAGAAGACAAAATGTATGCGGTATTACTTATTTTTGTATAAAAGAAAGAAGAAACATTTAACTATAATGGCTACCCTGGTGCGGGTAAGAGGGTAATGAAGTCTAAAATTAGATGATGTGATATGAAACCTGTCACAATATAAAAATAAGAAGATGTGGTATGATTGCCAATGAAACAACTCTCCATAAGAGACCAAATGACACCGAAACTAACAACTATAGGTCACCGCATGGCCTTCAACAATGAGCAAAGCCCATACCGCATAGTCAGATATAAAACAATGCTCCTCATAATGATTTCAAATTGAAATATTGTTGACCTACAATGTTTTTGTATGATCTCTAAGATTGCAACGTTACCACTGATGCTTGAATATGAGGTAAGGGCGTATGAAACGTGGCGGTTAACATATGCTCATTCATATACCAAATATTGACTTGCCTTTCATAGCTATTTGACATATCCACTGGAACTCGAAAATAAAGCAATGTCAAAAGTATCAAAATGTCGAAATCCATGATGGTTTTTGAATGAGCATAGATAATATGTTTTAATCTTATAAATATACGTCCAATAAATTATTCTAGTCGATGAATTTTGTGTACACTATTTCAATTAAGCGGAGAAAACATGGTCATTTTATCAATAAGTTCAGATAAATTGTAACATTTGATACCTTTTAGCTGATGTGCATACCAGATGCAGGGTGAAATATTTTTTACGTAATGGAGCATTTGGTAAATCTTGCTAGACCTGTAGTTACGACTGTTTCAAAAGTCTGAATCCGAAGATATCTTAGCAACCACGATCCATGACTTACTAAAGTCTGATTTGACTGCCACGTGACTAAGCCAGGTGCTCACAGTATATTGTTAATTTTAAAACAATTTTTAAACCCCAAGTGTATCTTACTGTTGAAATAATTTCATTAAAATCAGAGGAGATAAGAATAAAATCAAGGAAAACCACTCGCATATCTTTCATCAGTCCATGGGGAAGTGTGGACAGATGTTTTCGTTCTTTGTCAGTTGAAATGATTATACTTTCACAAGATGTTTAAGATGAAAATCAAACGATTAGGGTTGATTTGCAAAACAAATATATAACACACACTTTAACAAGATTCGATTTTTTTGTTGAAACACCAGTAATACCCATCTCTTATTACATAATTTATATATCATTAGCTTTGGTTTACTGATCCAAACTCTAAAGAATATATCCCTTTCAATTCATATTTTAGAATTCACATTCGAGTATGTTAGCATATAGTTTAAATGAGATTCTTCCATAATATTGTTTTAAGACACTAGTTTTCTCCCTCAAACAGCTTGATGACCAATGTCAAGAATGTCCGCCCTCTTATCCAGTTGTCAAATTTTATTTATCTATACATAAAAAAAAAGAATCTTATATATGTAGTCAGGTATCAAAGCAGGGTTGAATGCATATATGACAAAATCGTGAAATACAAATACGTAAAACATGTCATGCACATTTCATGCATATTTCATGCTTTTGAAACGTGACATACACATTTCATGCACATTTCATGCTATTGAAACATTCCATGCACATTTCATGTTATTCTGTATATAGTCATTGTGTTAACGTTAAAAACGGGGATTATTCAGTTATTCAAAGCTGGTAACGTTCAAATCAAAAGGTGTGTTTAAACAGTTAAAGTTGCCATGTCACATAAGAATAACATAAGTTCTAGTAAGCTTTTATAACCGATAAATACTTACACATACATGACATACTCAATGAAAACAAAATACACTGATGATGCATAAAGGACATAAAAATAAGAAAAGAACAAGAATGCACACTTTATGCATGCATGAAGCTAAAAGTCTATAAGCAGCAATACCATAAATCATTAAATCAGCAGCATAAAACACTATAAAGCACAGCAAACACATGGATGACATTACAGCGAAAGTACAATATAAACAGCTCTACAATATAAAGCTTCCAACATAAAATATAAAAACACATTACAATATAGTAGTCACAGTTGATTTTGGACAACTGTATGTTTCCCCCTCATAAATCCATTTGAGCACTTCAATTTAACAACGACTTTAGTATAAAAGTCCTTTTATTGTCAATTTTAACAGCATTAAATATAAGATATTCATGTAGTATATGTTGACCTTAGCCCGTAAGCGCGTCTGTTTTGCACAGAACTGCACATTTAAAATCATTGTATTTTAATATTACACTAATATTAAACATTGTATTCTTGAAGTGTATTGTTTGCATACGTGTATGGTGTTATAACTGAATTATGATTGTATCATTGTTATTACCCTGGCGGACCTTAACTAGAAAAACACACGAAGATCTGAATTATTTTTTTGACTTTGGCAAGTAGTGAGGTTGCATAAAAATTATTCTGTGTAATCAAACTGATAAACAGGAGTCCTACTCAAGAATCAAAGAACATTCAAACCACGCGAATTGTTTACATTAGTCAAATAAATAAAATGTCGGATGAAAATTGTTAAGAGATTACCTGATTTTTTGGTTAAATAATCGAATGTTGTTCTTTCACATTTATCTTAATCTGTTAATTCTAAGTTTAAAATAATTGAACCTACGCGTGCCGGAAACTTCAAATGTAAACAGGAGTCTGGTTTTGCATTGTAGGTGGTCATTTTCTTCGTTGAATTTTGAAATCCAAAATCTTTCCATTACAAAAGGACCAGGAAAATATTTACTGCATGTATAAGATACTAGGGTGTTAGACCGATTGAGTGTATCTTATTTACACCAATATATTGTTGTTAACTTACAACAGGATAGTTATATTTCATTAATTTTGGAAAAGGGTCTTTCAGCAATTTGATCTTATTGTATGGCAAAAACATGATAAATGAAGGATAAAGAAATTATATAATTGTTTTTATGATTTTTTTAATCACCCAAAGAGATGACTGGGTATTGCAAATATTATCATCCATGGATTTCCTCCTGCCCGACAGTCAAGCTCCTTCTAACGTGGAGCAGCTGTTTGTCTATGCTTGGTGCATAAATATGCAGCCACGTCCGGCTGGATTTGAGACGTTGCATCCGCACATTATACCCGTTCTATTTATTCTTAACTTGTTCTCGTCCTAAAAATGCATGAAAGATTTGCAACTGGACATAGAGCTGACAGCAATCAATCAATTAATCATGTTCGAATAAGTTCGCCTCTTCTCATGTCAGATATAAGGGATGCTAAGTTGGACAAGATTATGTTATGATTAGAGGTGACCAAATAAACTTTATGCAGATGATGAACTTCAATACATAGTTAGGTGAATTACTTTTTTTTATTACAAAATTGAAAATTCGTTAGTTAACAATGAAAGCATACTTTTTTTCCTAACAAGTCTTTGCTGATTTTTATCAATCGTTGAAATTGATTATTGTATATACATCATAGCATTAGGCTATCTGATTTAACGTGCCATATCTATATCTTATGATAGATTTATATTCAAACAATCAGCACAACTTTTGCATTTTGTAAAATTTGTTGATAATAATATATGTATTCTTAGCCAAAAGATAAGTATTCCATTCATTTATTCAATATAGAAATATTGCTTTCCCTAAAATATGAACAAGCATATGCACATGTTTTGTTTTTGATTGGAGAGATGATTAGCTGATAATAAAGGGAGTTATTCGGTAATACAAAGATATGAGTTCCCATAAGAGAACGAATCTTCAGTTGTACGTAAATTTCTAAGATAAATTAAGACTCAGTCGATAGCACAAAGAATTTCAATTCTACTGCATTTCGTATAAAAATATGTCGATAGAACAAATAATTACTATAGTAATGCATTCAGTGTAAACAAGTTGATTTCATGAAGAATTTTTTTGAAATAAAATCTCGCCTTGAAAAAGTACAGCATTAAAGGTATTTCGGTTTTTATAGCAAACGATAATTGCAAGATATCATTAAAAATCAGATGTACTTCAAAAGTTTACTCGCGTCAATTAATCGACGTTCTATGTTGTAAAATGCAAGCCTAAAATCATGGTATTACGCAAGTCTGTTGAAACCTCAGAGTTAAGTTAAGTTTTAAAAGAGATGTTTTATAGTTTGCTTAAAAATGAAGACAGGTTTTCTGCTCTTTGGTCGGGTTGTTGTCTCTTTGACACATTCCCCATTTCCATTCTCAATTTTATTAGATTAAATAATAGAATATAACTGCAATTAAAATTCGTGTAACTGGAATTTACCATGAAAAGCGTAATCATTTTTAACAAATATAAAAATAAAAGCTCTATAGTGACCATACAGTGTTTGTGCATGGTACTCATGATAAAAACGCAACAAATAATAGGTAAATGAAATATAACAAACGTATGTCAAATATAAATTATGAACATTAGACGTAAAAAAAAAAATCGAGATGATATTCAATTTCAAAAAACAATGCATATTTCCCACTGAATAATTTTGCATCATTGTTTCTATTTTAGCTCCACCCGGATACAAGATTCATTTGTATTTCTGGGAATGGTTTGAAATCGAGGTCAGTCAAGACTGCAAATTTGATTATTTAGCGGTCCATGATGGCCCATTTAGCTATTCACCAAAGATAGCAAAACTCTGTGGCAATGAATATCCATCCAAAATAATAACATCGTCTACCAGGTTTATGTGGCTACAGTTTGTCAGTGATAAGAATTTGGGAGGAAGAGGATTCAAAGTTACATACACATTTGTAGCACAGAGTGGTATGTATATATATATATATATATATATATGAGTCTAAAAGATTGTGTAACAATACCGATAAATAGATGGAAAACAAAACACTAAAAAGTGTTGAATATCATCGCACAAAGATGGAAAAACTGAACAGATGATATAAATTATACAATAATTGCAAATATTTCGGCTCAACAAATGGCCTTCCTCAGTGTTAAAAGTTTTAACAATACTGATATATAATGTATAAGGTGTAAACATAGATCAATAATAATACAGGTAAGTTTTGGTCGATTGATTTTAATCCAAAATCCTGAATATCATAATATAAACATTAGACTGTAAATTTAATTATTTCTTTCTATTGATTCCATCTGGATGGAGGACACCCAGTGTTTTTATCCAAAACTTCTCCCATTCTCTCTTTGCCTATTTTGCCATGTACAATCCTGTTCGATCACAAGGACCTTCATGTGATCAAAATCTTTCAGATTGTGATCTGGTAACCTGAAGTGTTGGCTGACAGGAATATACGGTTTTTTTGTGAGGTCACTCCTGTGGCCATTAAGGCGTTTGTGAAATGGCTGCATAGATTCACCAACATATTGGAGACCACATATAGGACACTCAAGAACGTAAATCACGTTTGAGCTTTTGCAGTTGACATTGCAGAAGATCTTGTATGTCTTTTCTGTGGTCTTACTGTGAAATGTTGGTGAATGCTGCAATTGGTTGCAACATTTGCAGCGCTTATCCCCACAAGGCTGGCAATTACCTACAGTATGGTTAGGTTTGGAAAGGTCAGCACGGATTAAAATCAATCGACCAAAACTATCCTGTATTATTATTGATCTATGTTTACACCTTATACATTATATATCAGTATTGTTAAAACTTTTAACACTGAGGAAGGCCATTTGTTGAGCCGGAATATTTGCAATTATTGTATAATTTATATCATCTGTTCAGTTTTTCCATCTTTGTGCGATGATATTCAACACTTTTTAGTGTTTTGTTTTCCATCTAGTTATCGGTATTGTTACACAATCTTTTAGACTCATATAATTTTCCCTGTTTGTGTAGTATTGTCAAGTTATAGATGCTTTTAGAGGAATACAATTTAGCCTATGAATGCATGATTGAAATATTATAGTTTTCATAATGTTCCATTCTCGTTTTTTTTTTTTAGTTCATCGAGTTTTTAGTTATTCTGTATTTTATAAAATATGCTCTGGGTGATTTCCCTTATTGAAGTTATTTTCCTTTAATGAAAATTTTACCAATGATTTTTATGTTTGCCTATTATCTTTAAATTGCAAAAATGATCAGCAAGACACGATCTACAAATAAGGTAGATAGCCGAAATCATCAGTTGACTCCTTATCGGAGTAATTGCCCTTTCGACTTTAATGACGATTTTACCATTTTTTTTGCATTTTTGCCAATTATCTTGAAAACTATAACGGATAGATAGAAACTGTAAATACAAGCATGACCAGCAAGACACGATCTACAAATAAGTCAAGTTGCCATTATCGTCAGTTGACTCCTTATGGGAAATAATGTCCTTAAACGACGGGTTATACCCTATTTGTGTTTTGGACAAAAACTATAGAAGGCAGAGAGAAACTATAAACATAAAGAAATGTCAGCAATACAAGATAAACAAAAATGAATTTTTAGTCATGATTTATATTCACGTCTAAAATATTAGAGAGTGTCCATTGTTGAAGACCCACACAGACATAGGTGAGCAACAACGGTCGGAGATTTTGGATACTTTGATTACAAAAGAATCCATTTAATGAACGTTACCTGATTCTTCTAGATGTCAACTAAACTTTTTCAATAAAAAAATCAAAATACATGTAATAGCGATTTCCGTGCTCACGAAACGTGTTTCTGGAATAACCAACTTGTATGCTTGAGAACAAAAGTTTGGAAAGTCACATGCCACAATGTCTCAAATAACAATTAAAAAGGAATTATCTCAGCTTGTGTATATATTCTCAGTAATGAGTATTTCTTAATTCAGTAAGAAACTGTCGATTCCAAAAACAGTTGACGTGTGCCCTCGAGTGAGTACCCCTGATATTGCCGACTTGGTTGTGTACTCATATAAAGCAGAATAAAATCGTTATGAAGACACGATGAAAAGTCGTATAGCACTATTTTATCTATCCACGTGAACAGGAAATTGAGGATGTCGTCTTATCTTGATGATTTATTTTTTAAGTTGGACAATTGTTACTATAGATCTATGGCAAACGTAATGAATATATTTCATTCATTGACAACTTCATATTCTTGAGAAACCCACTTTGTTTTGGTTGAGAGTTCCTGGTGAAAGTAATGCTTTAAAAGCGCTTTGGAATCACGAAATTTATAAAAGTGTTATTATTATTTAGCAACATATCTTGCCCTGCATCACGTGTTCATAGTTGATAAACTAGGCGTAGAGATCGTTTTTGATATATCAATATCACTTACCGACGACTCCACCTAATACCTAATGCACTCCAGCATAGTCATGAAGAAGAACGATTGAAATTAACATGCACCTAGCAAGTCCGTTGTCTCAGTTTCTAAATTAATCATGAAACATTTTGACTATCAAAAACCCCATAGTTAACTATGTAAATCTGACATTAATTACTACTAGTTTTGTTATGGTCCTGGATAAGACACTTACTAGTGGATGTAACTTTGGAATCGTGTGGCGGATGATGCATGCGTAGTATAGGATGCTTATACGCTGTGTATGTACCTGGTCTTACCCTGTTTGGCGATCATGCAATTTCGTTTCTATTAACTCGCATGTACGTCTGTTTTATTCTGGCATACATTATGAGACTTATTGAACTTTGTTTTACTACCTGTATGTATATAAATGGATATTAAGACGCAATTATTATGAGCACATCGTGCAGCTGTTTACTTTATGATGCTTATCATTGTACCATCCTGTAGAATCATTGAAATATTGAATTGAAATGTTTGCCATCGGACGTTTAGCAATAAACAATCAATAAATGATTTAGAAAAAAAACATTTGAATATAATCTGTTCTAACGTACAATTTGGAACTGCGAATCCTACCATGAACAATACTCTATATGCTTTTTGGGAAATTAGAAAACAGAAAATCGAAATGATGTGAGCAGGCCGACAGATTGAAATTTTAACATGCTAGCTCTTATTTTTAGTCCCCTACCGACGAAGTCGAAGGGGACTTTAGGTTTGCACTCTGTCCGTCCGTCCGTCTGTCTGTCCATCTGTCCGTCTGTCCATCCGTCAGTCCGGCAAATCAGCTTTCCACACTTTTTTCTTCGTTCTTGAAGATATTGATTTTATATTTGGTATATAGTTTTATCATGACAAGTTATAGATCAAGTTTGAATTTTGTTCCGGTCTGATGATTTAGTCCAGAGTTATGGACCATAACTCTGGACCATATCTAATGTTAGAGTACTATGTTAAACCATATTTCTGTACAAAGGGAGATAACTCATTTTTTAAAAGACACTCGAAGTAAATTATTTGAAGAATTTTTTGACAGGTTTGTTTGTTATTTAGTATAAACTAATTGCTATAGATATAAAAAAAAAAAATAAGAAGAGAATTCCTTTAATTAGATAATAATCTATTTTTATTAATGTATATATATTTCAATACATTACATTGTGTAGATAAAAGTTGTTGACATTTTATAGATAAGTTACAAATCTATATTAGTTTGTGACAAATGAAAGAAAAAAATATTTTGAACTATTAAATATATCTGATTATAATTTGAAATAGATATACACTGTATTACATCATATCTAATTCTAGAGAACTATTAATCATATCTAATGTTTTTTTCATCATGCTTAAGATATTGATTGATAATTGATAGTTTTATCATGACAAGTTACAGATCAAGTTCAAATTTTTGTTTCGATCTTATAATTTTGTGCAGAGTTATGGTCCTTGGACTTGAAAAATTCACTCATATAATCAGTTTTCAACACCGTTTTTAGTCATGCTTGAAGATATTGACATGATATTTACTTTTTGTTTACACCATGACAAGTTATAGAACAAGTTAGCATTTTGTTCCAGTATAATGAATTTTTACCCGGTAGGGGACTATGTATTGCCATGCAATACTCTCAGAATGCTTGTTATTCTTAGCCTGTAAGGTATGTTATTCTGCCCGAACGCTTTCCTTACTATTTCGCATACATAGTTCTTGTCTAGTAGAGAATCAGCAAATGACAATTTCAGTTCTTTGGTTCGGACCGACAGGGAATCGAAACCCAGCGTCCGCACACTCCTGTGAGCCTGTCAACACAGGACCATCATTGTAGAGAATGTTTTTGCTGGAACAAAACCAAACACAGGAACTATGATACATCGACTTAAATGTCGTTAAAAAATTTTTTTTAATCGTTCTGTTAAGCACTGAAAAAAAAAACGCAAAAAACACAGCGACTCTTTTCACAAAAAGTCTTACGATTAAAATTGATCGTAAGTTATACTGAAATGTGTATGACTTACGAGTATTTTTACTCTTAAGATTTTTTGTGAAAAGAGCCACAGATGTCTTACTTTGAACAGTTTGCTAGGCGTAATGTGACCTTCTAATGTGGTAAGCATATTTAAAATAGATTTGTTAAAAGTAAATATCATTTTCTATTCAATTTTGACTATAATATACCATGTTGCATCGATCTTTTAGGATATAAAGAAAAAGAAGAAGAGCAGAAAGGTAGGACTCTTATTTTCCTAGAAATCAAAAACACACTTATGAGATAAGGAAACTATAATAAATATTGTTTTAACGAGACAATGATACAATTAATTGGCAACATAGTATATTCGACGATGCCAAAGCTGATTCCAAGAATACCAGAATACTATGTTCGCATGTCTATGCATATCTTGTCTTAATTCTCATTCATGTGAATTACAGTGTCAATATTGGTACAAGTGTCGTGGTTTATATATAGTTTGGTTTTAGCTGCCACGCATGGTAACGCTACATTAATTATCTGGATTGTTTTAACTACTTTTTGGATTAATTATCCCACTTTTTGATACCCTTAGTTTTATATTTTTAAAGATGTTGAGTGCGACAATTTATGAAGGCTCCATTTCTATATAATACTGCATTGATGTTAAGACTTTACGAAAATGGTACAGAGTACGCAATGCCGACTTTCAATTCATATAACTTCCGTTTAACATAGACTATATCTTTAATTCAAAAATGTTGAAAGTACCGTTATTAATAGATACATGAAATATGAGACGAATAGACATTATTGTAATTACTGCAAGTTTTATCAATACTGATAATTCCTATACTAGTATATAATTGTAACCATAGAAAGAATTAGTTTTGAAACAGACCAAAAGGTAAATATTAGAATTCTCTATTAGGGTAAAAAATGTAAGCTCCTGTATTGAACATGTGGTTATAAGAAATGGGGACAATGAATCCATAAGATTTGACTGACATTAATGTCAATATTACTTGTATATGTACATTTATGTAACTTGCATTGTTAACTTACTTTACATAATTAACCAGTTGATTGGTTTAAATACTTTTTTTTTAACTTATTAATCAATTATTGGTCAACAGCTGAAAAAATTCTCTCTTCAGAATAGCAAAATGTTATATTACGAACAATTTTTGTGAAGTCATTTTTTTGTAGCAACTATTTGGTGCTGTAAATGACAAAAGAGATGATGCGATGATCGTCTCGTTCAGACACTGTATACATGCACTTACTATGATGTAATAAACCTTGCTTTCTTTTTCTTTCTAGTTTGTAGAATACACTATGACAAAAAGGTAGGACCTGAAGGAGAAATAACATCCGACATGATTCCATTTGCTGATACATCGTCTCCCGGATATCCAGTAAATAAGCCTATTGACTGCACATGGGAAATTGATGCGGAACGTCACTCAAAGGTATCTAGCCTATAGCAGCACACTTTTAGCTTTTTATAGAGCTTATACTGTCCTTCCAAAGGTTTGATACAAACCAATAAGAAAGTGTTGTACTTTGTCTTCTTGATAATGAACCTTTCTTCCGATGTTGAAATAGAATCATTGTAGATTGACAGGAATACATTGTTTGTTTTTAGTTGCTTGTATTTATTCGCAGTGGTTTTATTAACCTTGGTTAAGACCCTATATATCCTTTATAATCTTGTAATATAATACCGAATTTGAAATCCATATAACAGATATCACTGTTTTATTACAGATAGCTCTTGCACAAGTGACTGTATATTTCCATAGCGCTGGGAACTGCGGACTTAACAAAATAGAAATTTATGATGGGTCAACTTTAAAAACAGATAAACGGATACAAAACTGTGGCCCTGGACCATTCGAGTCATTTGAATCGAAAACAAATAAAATATTTGTTCGAATCTTCGGCAACAGTCTAAATTACAAACCAACGATAAATCTTCTATTTACAAAGTTTTATAAAAGTAAGTATATTTTCGTATTTTGAGACAGAATTAAATAGCAGATTCAAGTTTCTTGGTATGTCGGTTTAAGGACTGTAGTTCTAAATAAAAAAATCTATGTAAATGAAATATTTGAAATTTAGTTTCCTTCTTAGTATACTCGAAAGATTTACAATGTTGTATTTCACCTGATTGGGCTAGTCTATATGCTTTTTTAGAAATGTTTTACTATCCACGTCATTTGGTCGATGATGCATAGACTGCATAGTGGTCTCTTTGACAATCCTACCACATATCCTTATATTTTGTTACTTGCTTTGAATTATGTTAAAACATATCTGATGATGAGCCTAGAATTTGCATGATCTCTTTTATCTGCACTAGATGATGCTTCTAGAATTTGCATAATCTCTTTTATCTGCACAATGTGTAGTTGCAAGAATAACTCTTGTGTGATGATGAAATGCTCCATGACACAAATCGTCTTTTTTTGCTTTTTTTTCTTGTAGTATTTGTCAGGTAATTAAACATGTTTTGTCGGTATTTTTCATCTTTACGTAATTAAATTTTGCAGACGAAACTTGCAATTCCAAACATTTTTCTTGCAATGGAAGATGCATCAGCAACACTCTTGCTTGCAATGGAAAGATTAACTGTCCAAGTGGATTAGACGAAGAAAACTGCGATCTGGATGATAGCGATACTGTTGGTAAGCACTATAAATCTCTCCCAGATTTTTAAGTTGTCTGTTTTGCATATTCCGTTGGAGCATCTTTTAAAATTGCAATAGTATTGTACTGAGAAATACATCTGCACGAAAATGAAAATATTATAGTCTTATTAAATGGGTGTTTTCATATTAATCCTGTATTATGTTCATGTACAGTCGTATTGGGTCGAGGTTAGCTGTATTGGCTCAATGCGCTTTTCTGTATTAACCTTCATCACGACTGGCGCTCAAAGCCAAAAATATGAAAGCCAAGGATGTATAAGTACCGAAACATATTAAGAGTTATATGACAAAAAGGAACCGGCTTACAGTTACTACCAAATCAAAGATCAACTTTAGTTTCATAAAAAATTTCTAAATTTATCAACCAAAAATTAAAGGAAGGTATGGTATAAATCATGTCAGTACTGAAACACGGACTACTGAGCTGATGAAACCCTCGGGAACTAATAGTCCACCACCAAGAAAGATATTTTCTCATTTATCAAAAAAAATTAACAGGTTTCCCCATCTTTTAAAATGCCCATCTTTTTGTGGTTAAATGACTGTCAGAATTAAGAAGAAAGGGCATATTTTAAGGGGACGAAAGGAGTTTAATAGCTTAGTTTTGTATATGTCATGTTTAGGCTTACTTCATACTTTCATGCTGCTATACACGTCCTCAGCACTTGTGTCAAATGTCCTGCAGACACACATGTAATGTATATCATGTCTATAGAAATCGTGTATCGATAACTCAAGATAAACACAAGATATGATTCGCTCATCCATTTAAGTTCTTTTTCGACCAATAAATTTAAGTCGGTGAACGGCAATATATTTTACTTTCAACGTTACTGAACATTTGTAAGTGGAATCTTAGATTAAACAAACTTAAGGAGATAAAAATGATAATAGGAAATAAATTTTTATTTAAATGATATACATTTTATTTTCTTATAATAAACACCAATCTTGGGTTAAGACTAGAAAAGCATTGTACGACAAAAGTAAATTGAAGAAACTCGTCGAAGGCACATGTTGGTTTTAACATTATTCTTGTAAAAAAGATGTCGCCACGAGGACGTTTTTTTTTAAATATACGTGTAAATAAGAATTCAATAAATCATTATGATCGGATTGATTTTTGTTTTTGACTTTGGTTCCTTTTGACTCCCCTTTCTCCTCAAAACACAGACGGAAATTCAACAAAAGTTGATTGATGGAGTATCGTGGCATGATTTTTGTTCTCAAAGAAATTGGGTGGACAAATCTGCATTGATATAAAAAAATGTTATTTTTAAGAGTCCCATTTCTCTGTTCTGATTTGTCGTTGGACAGTAGAAGCTAGTTTTAGAGGTTTACTATTTTCATCTTGACTGACATACTTCCTACCAAGGATTTGTATAGTAAGACTTGCTATACAAATCCTTGTTCCTAATTACTCTACTTTTTTTTAAATTGTAAAACATATGCTTATATTAGTACTTTTTTGCATTTCGAAATAAATAGTGGACAATTTCATAGAATACAAGGCACTTCTCCTTTCTGATGCTATAAAATTGTTACCTGTAAACATTTTGTTAATGTCTTCCACATTTTTTGATTTTCCTAGTTTCTGTTTATTCTGTAATTTATAACATAAAATATAAGTTCTGCGTATAGTTTGATAATCAGATTAAAAACGTTTTGTAATATATTACAAACAGTAGGTTATTCGTAGGAGGCAAGAAAATAAAACGGTTTCCGTACACAACAGATGTACAATCGTGATGATTAATTAGACTAAATATTTATCTATCTTAATCTACCATTCATTTCATACAGTAGTTATTCTGATTTAAACTGACACCTCTGCAGTCATAGACTTTGTTCATGTGGAAAGCCAGATGGCTTAGCCCGGAAGATTTCAATTATGAAGATAATACATGGAAATTAATATTTTCTTCATGTCCATGCAAATTATCGCCACCTTTCATCATAACAGATGCTGCAATCAACTATGATAGGTGTATTTATTGTCTATAAAGTACTTATAATCGCAGGAAAAATATATGCACAAATTTTTATTTCGGTTACACAGTGAAGCAAGTTGCACGATGCTTGGAACTGTGCTATCATTCAACATGCAACTTCTGAAAAGACAATGCTGCAATTTTTAGATTGAAACTTAACTATATTTCGTGTGCAAAGAACCACGCACGAGATTGAAACTTTGTAATTGTAAAAATCAAGGCCCTAAAAGGTGATACCCGATGATTCAAGTTTCATTATCTAAGTTGAATATCAAATTATGTAGTCAATGTTCTCTCCAAAATGGAAAAACGAAAAATATATACCAATTCTTAAAAAACTATATACTTTGCTTTATAAACAAGGTGGTTACAGGAATTGATACACTGGATAGTTGCAATGTCACTTATCAAAAGTAATTTCGTGTTAAAAGTGGATGCGAACATCCATTTAGAGTTTATGCAATATTAACGTTACAGTATATTTTGAACAAGGATCGACACCGATTTCAGTCTCGATCATATATTCTAGGTTTACTCTGTGTCGGGTTTGAGAGGGAAATAACTCGTTTCAAATAATAAATCGGAGACTAATACTAGTTTGACCAAATGCTATAAATAACTAATACAGTTATCAATTGGTCCTCGAAAATATGTACAAAAATGTATAACATTGAAGTTCGTGCGACATATATAAGCGACACCATTACTCGCAATAATGATACGAGAAATACAAGGACAAACTACTCAAGTCTGGGCTTGGCACTCCAAAATCAGTTAGGATCATGCAGTTTCAATTCTATTTTTTATTGATCAAGAAACAATCCGTTCTGTTTGGTATTCTAGTCACATTTTCAGAATAACTTTACAGAACTTAAGAATAGCAATCTTCACCAATTGTTTATGAATCCTGTCGTTTACTAATCCATCTGTATATTCATGCTCTGTGATTAAGAAATTAATTGTATTTGCAATCCCCTGCCAATCTTTTTTTTTGTAAACTGTTCTTTCATCTTATTTACTTTCTATCGAAAAAACTCGTTGGATAAAATTGCTAAGGTCGCTTTTTCTATCACACACTACGGTATCGCTTGTCATTTTTCTGCATCTGGAGTTTGTCTTTCAAGCAGAGGTAATTGAAAAATGAAGTCTAGAAAAACGTATAGAATCACCGTTGAAAAAATATAAGTGCATATACTTTGATTCATGGCCCTTTCGGTGCATCTGGTTATCGAAAACTACACCGATATACTCGTTGTTCTGTCAATGAATAAGTTAAAGATATTTAACGTAAATCAGAAATGCAACTTTCATACTTCTTGTTGCTTGTAAAAAAACACAAAGAAAGGCAGGTTTCTTTAATGAAAAACAAGTCTGTAATTGTTGGTTATTTTCAGAATTGTTTTCATTTTACCTGTTTATTAGATGGATAGTAAACTAAACCCTACTTTCCAGAAAAACAATGAAAACAACGTCCGTCCCATTTTCGTTTCCGCACTCTAACTTAAGTTTGTCTCATCCAAATTTTATGAAACTCATACACAATGCAAAGAACCACAACACGCAGACAGAGTTCAAATTTTGGTGGTAATTTATTTACCGTTTTAGAGTTACTTATGCCCCTTTTTATACGACCGCAAAAATTAAAAATTTTTTGGTCGTATATTGGTATGACGTTGGCGTCGTCGTCGTCGTCGTCGTCCGAAGACACATTGGTTTTCGCACTCTAACTTTAGTTTAAGTGAATGGATCTCCATGAAATTTTACCATAAGGTTCAATACTACGAAAGGAAAGTTGGGATTGATTTTGGGGGTTATGGTACCAACAGTTAAGGAATTAGGGGCCAAAAAGGGGCCAAAAATAAGCATTTTTGTAACTTTCAGACAATAACTTGTGTGTAAGTGTATGGATCTCTCTGACATTGTACCACAAGGTTCCATATCACAAAGGGAAGGCTGTAATTGATTTTGGGGGTAATTGCCTCAAAATTTTAGGAATTAGGGGCCAAAAAAGGGGCAAAAAACAAGCATTTTTCTAGTTTCATGACAATAACTTGTGTGTAAGTGTTTGGATATTTCTGAAATTGTACTACAAGGTTTCATATCACAAAGGGAAAGCTGGAATTGAGTTCGGGGGTAATTGCCTGAAACGTTTAGGAATTGGGGGCCAAAAAGGGGCCAAAAATAAGCATTTTTCTAGTTTCAAGACAATAACTTGTGTTCAAGTGTATGGATCTCTCTGAAATTGTACTGCAAGGTACCATACCACAAAGGGAAGGCTGGGATTGAGTTTGGGGTTGATGAATCATAAGGGGGTTCAAAAAATTTGGGGGGGGGGATTTTTTTTTTTTCTTTTTTTTTCTTTTTTTCCTTTTTTTTTTTTTAAATTTTCCATTTTAAGTTGGTTATTTCTGATTTATATTTAAAAACAAATTATAATGATATGGTAGGAGATACACACCAAACAGGATGTGTAAATTTTTATATAATAAGTATCGTGCAATAGCAAGAAATTTTCAATTGCACAGTATTGCACAATAGCAAGAAATCTTCAATTGCACAGTATTGCGCAATAGCAAGAAATCTTCAATTGCACAGTATTGCGCAATAGCAAGAAATATCCAATAGCACAATATTGCGCAATAGCAAGAAATTGTCAATTGTACAGTATTGGGCAATAGCAAGAAATATTCAATTGCACAGTATTGTGCTAAAGAAGATACTTCTTATAAATTGCTTATTTCTTGATCAATTTCAATGGGGTTTTATTCTTGAATTCTTGGGGTTCTTTAATATGCTGAATATAACCGTGTATTCAGTTTTTGGATTTTGGGCCTGTTTTTAAATTGGTCCACATTGAGGTCCAAAGGGTCCAAAATTTAACTTTGTTTGATTTCATCAAAAATTGAATTATTGGGGTTCTTTGATATGCCGAATCTAACCGTGTATTTAGATTCTTAATTTTTGGTTCCGTTTTCAAATTGGTCTACATTAAGGTCCAAAGGGTCCAAAATTAAACTTAGTTTGATTTTAACAAAATTGAATTTTTAGTGTTCTTTGATATGCTGAATCTAAACATGTATTTAGATTTTTGATTATGGGCCCAGTTTTCAAGTTGGTCCGAATCGGGGTCCAAAATTAAACTTTGTTTGATTTCAACAAAAATTGAATATATGGGGTTCTTTGATATGCTGAATCTAACCATGTATTTAGATTTTTGGGCCCCGTAATCAACTTTGTCCACATTGAGGTCAAAAGGGTCCAAAATTTAACTTTGTTTGATTTCATCAAAAATTGAATTATTGGGGTTCTTTGATATGCCGAATCTAACCGTGTATTTAGATTCTTAATTTTTGGTTCCCTTTTCAAATTGGTCTACATTAAGGTCCAAAGGGTCCAAAATTAAACTTAGTTTGATTTTAACAAAAAATGAATTTTTAGTGTTCTTTGATATGCTGAATCTAAACATGTATTTAGATTTTTGATTATGGGCCCAGTTTTCAAGTTGGTCCAAATCGGGGTCCAAAATTAAACTTTGTTTGATTTCAACAAAAATTGAATATATGGGGTTTTTTGATATGCTGAATCTAACCATGTATTTAGATTTTTGGGCCCCGTTATCAAATTTGTCCACATTGAGGTCAAAAGGGTCCAAAATTAAACTTTGTTTGATTTCATCAAAAATTGAATTCTTGGGGTTCTTTGATATGCTGAATCTAACCATGTATTTAGATTTTGGATATTGGACCATAATAGGTGAATGTCCAATTTAAAATTTTTAAGTTCTTAGACCACATTCATTCTGTGTCAGAAACCTATGCTGTGTCAAATATTTAATCACAATCCAAATTCAGAGCTGTATCAAGCTTGAATGTTGTGTCCATACTTGCCCCAACTGTTCAGGGTTCGACCTCTGCGGTCGTATCAAGCTGCGCCCTGCGGAGCATTTTATTAACTTGGACAATTAGAAAGCTTGAGCGGGGGCATTCGTGTCCTCAGACACATTCTTCTTTTATTTCAAAAAGGAACCATGCTTTGATATAGGTTCAGCATTTTTAACTGCATCTGTAAAAAAAATACTGCTTTTATATATATACAAAAAATAAAGTAAAGTAAAGTTACAAAATCGTTAACTATTTTTTCTTTGTTATTTCATTATAGGTTTGGGCTTTGAATCGCTACCATTGCATGCCATCATTATTGGAGCTGTAGGCGGCGTGCTAGGAACCATAATTGTTATCGGAGTATGTCTAATTTGCCGTTACAAAAGCCGAAAGCGACAGAAACAAAGACAGGAACAACGTGATAAATTAAAGGAAAATTTCGAAATGTCCAACATAAGTGCGAACACAACTTTACTGACGAAAAAGAATGCCGGACAACCTAATTATTTTTCTTTACCAAGGCAGCATCGAAGTGGAGGTCAAAGAGATTATATACGTAGGGATAGTGGTACCAATTCAAGTGTTCCTTCAGAGGGCGATGTTCCCGATCACAATTCTGACCCAGGAAATTATAAAAAATATTTAGTCATGGATCAATATTTGGACGAAGAACCTTGTCCGTCAGTTTATAATCAAGGTCCGGTTTTAACGACTATAATTGAACGGCATGATGTTCCAATGCAACAACAGGAAATCGATGGGTCATACGGTTGGACCGGATATGGATGGAAACAACCTCAGTCTGATATTAAACCGCCAATGAGTCTAACAGAGAACATCGCTAAATTAGCACAATATAACATTCCACAAAAAACTTTAAACCCAGACTATAAGATGTATACATCGGATCCGAAATATGAAATGTATCCAGAACTACGATATAATATAGGAAAGGAGTATTCCAAATTAAAATACCATCCTCAACAACATCAACCAGAAATCACTACACCTACGAAGGAAAATCAGAAAAGTTTTAAAATGTCCAGCCCTCATCCTGACATTACTCGAGATTTAGAAGTTACGTAATATTGTATGAGAGTCTGGCAAAATAGACTTTGGAGAACATAATATTGTTTCGTCAAAGTAATGACTTGTTATAACAAGTATGAAGACCAACAGATACTAGGAACAAATCAATCATCAGACTCTTATCTCGATCAACCAAAAACAGTTACAAACAATCGGTTACAATAAAAGGATAGTGATTTTTAAGTGCACATATCAGAAATCCAAAATATTATTTCCATGAAGGAAGGGTCATTAATGAGAATTATGATAACCACTATTTTTCATTGCGCATTGTATAATAGCATTATATTTTAATTTCACTATTCTGATGAAGAAAAGGACATTAAGCAAACTTAATGTAAATTATTTAGTGTGAACAAATTCACTCATATGTAACCAAAAATTGAATTTTCAATTCAACACCCACTTAAACGACAACACTTATAAGAATGGATGTACTTCAAGCTAGTTCAGCATTCCATTCCACTCCAAAATTAAATTCTAGTTGCTGCATTAAGTTCGTGGTTTTGTCTTGATGTTTTTTTTTTCTCTTCATAGCTTTATTTTACCACCACTCTCAGTGCACTGTATGCGCCTTATATTCGTCTGTTGTTTCATATATCACAACACTTTGTTTACATCTATACGCCCTATTTAAGGTTTTAAAGTATTAAAAATAGGATCATTCTATATCAGAAATATGTTTACCAATAACGAGTTCCTAAATATAAGTATAATGTGTAAGTTTGGCATACGTTTCCGTGATTAAATGAATACAAGTTCATATTGCATCTATTAAAGAATGTAATAATATCTAAACTGATGGACATATTGTGTCGTGAACAAAAAAAGTACAATCCTGCATAAAATCAAGTTACAATAAAGTGACGGAATTATAAAACATTTTTGCTCCTAGCTCCTATAAAATCATACAAAACACTAAAATGTCTCGCCATCTGCACTATTTCAATTGTTATAAGGGGCAATAAACTTTGAAACTTATGTCAATGTCACAAGAAATAATATTAATTCAAGTGTAAGCGAATTTATTAATAAATTCACGTGCACTTGAAAAACGTGTTAACCTGATTGTCGCAGTGTGAAAACTGAGCTCAACGTTATTTGTATAAACCACTCGAAAATATTTTCGTTGCAGGCGAGACAATATAAAAAAAAATATTTTGAAACCCTTTCAATTGTGATAAAAAAGGGTTACTAACAAACACTTTCTACTTAAGTGCATTGAAAAATTAATTCTATGAATCATAATGTCACAATAACTCATGGATATACGTCGCAACTTGTATAATTCATCACATATATTCTTCTAATAGTTTAGCAAAATATTAGCTTATATTTTAGCACTGAAATCGAATAATTGTTTACCATCTGAAGAATCGATATGGAAAAATTTAGTGAGAGAAAAAAATCTTCGCAAGTTCGAAGTACAAAGGAACTAGAAAATATAGTGCATTTGAAAAAAATATATAGAAACAAAATTAGAGTTAACACTTTGGTTTGACGGTTGAAAATCATTGAACTATTTTCTTTATTCTCTGTTTCGTTCATATTTTTAGATATTTTACAGCTACTGTGAGTGGTGGTATTGTTTACATTTACGTCCATCTTTGTATAAATTGATCATATTTTATTAAATTTATATATAGAATGAACTTTATCTTTGTTATTTGTTTATTGTGAAACCTGAGTTAACAACTATCGCAGCATAAAAATACTACACTAAATGAAAACAAAAAATACTACACTAAATGAAAACAAAAAATAACAATTAAAAACAAAGAAACAAAAAAACTAAGAAAAATAGTTTATTAAAAACAATCAAACAAAGTCATATGTATACTTTCAAGTACAGACGCAAGTTATTCATTCTATAACATTCAAACATTCATGCAGGCTTCTGCAGAACGCTCTGTCTCTCGTGCGATTGCTGCTGTCAGTGTAAAGGTGTAATATTGACTGTCAAAAAACTAAGTCCATTTATCAATAAAATGTGGAAAAAAATATAAAAGATCGATTTTTTTTTTATTCAGATGTTGTATTTCTTGATCTGGAAAAGATTCTATTCAAATTTCAAAACATTCCACGAGAGTTGATTAAGTTATTGCTGTCTAAGAAATATAATCCCAGACTGTATGTAAATGTTTACTGCCAAAAAATTAAGTCCATTTATTAGTAAATTACGAAAAAATGCAGAAAAATATTTATTAAATTTTGCTTTAGAAATTATCTTGTAATCATAAAAAAATCTGCCAAAGTTTTATAAAATTCCAAATGATGAAGGTTTATAAAGTAAGTGATGTCTAAAAAAATCTTTAACCCAAGACTGTATTTAATTTTAACTGCAAAAAACTAAGTCCAATTACGCATCTGGCATAAAAAATCATAAGCCTGGTATCTTTGATGAGTTAATTTGATCAGTATAATACGGAATATGAAGGAACAAAAATCAAAAGTTTGATTTGGATACTGTCGTTTGATCATAAACAATCTTCTTCTGTTCAAGTTTCATCAAATACCATGAAGGTTTGACAAAGTTATTGATGTCTAAACAAAACTTTAATCACATTCTGAAACTAAATGTTGACGCCGTCGACTACACCGGAATGTAGGATCGCTATGTCTCGCTTCCTCTACAAAATGTCACAGGCTCATGTTTAGAAGCCAAAGTTTCAGGGGAATAGCGAAATTAAATTTGACACTACATTATTATTGGAACTGTCTAGTAAAACAAAAAAAAAAAAAAAACAAAAAAAAAAACACTATGTTTCGTTTTGGATTCTGTGCGTTTGTAAATTTTATAGACTAAGACACAATTAGAATTACAGCACATACAATTTATTACGACAATTGTTTCGTATTAGATATTCCGAATCTTTCTTTGGATCTTCTCCACCATACTCCGGATATCAAGCTGTGAATCAAGCAAAGCCTTCTTGAATACAAGGATTTATATTTCTGGTTAAGTTGTCAAAAAATTGTGTTTCAAGATCGATATACCATGGTTAACGATGATGTATTTTACATAGACCAATGTTCAGTGATTTATAACCAAAATCAAACATCATTGCCAAGATTTATAACTGATGTATAAAAACTTTGATGATACATGATCGGCCAACTCGATTCGCTCTGCTGGAAAGGTACACACTTAAACACCTGTACCTACTGCAATTTCTTAGATGATTCGATGATAAGTATCTAAATCTGCCTTGTAACAATTCCAATAATTACCTGCAGTTAAAATGTTTGAAGTGTTCGCTGACGGAAACTTCCTTATTATTAGCTAATGATTACAATTCAATATAGCTACTATTTCCTCAATGAGAAAAGAATGTTATTGCATTGCAGGTGTGATGCGATAGATATTATTCAATATTATGTTTTTGATATGTCAAATTTTTGCCTGCCACACAAATATTTGAAGACAAGGGTAACCAGTGACGTAATGAACCCCTGGTTTTGATTGATTGGCAATTATTTGCGTTGCTATACAAGACAGACATACCATTGAATAGTATTAAGTCTCTTAATTAAAAACACTTACTGAATATGTCATATGCTGAAATATCTCATGACATGATGATACTGTTTGCAATATTTTTTTCAGAAATATTTTGTCGAAAAAATGGACAGGAGGTCGAAATAAAAATAGCACTCAGGTTTGGCTTTTTTCAATTTGTTGGTTTTCGGAACAACAAATTTCGACCTCTAGATATCTGTTAAGTTTTTTTTTGTCTCGTCTCAATGGGGGTAAACTGGACATCACGTTTTATCCATATCCTTAAAATGGTAGGACGTTGGACAAAATGTTTAAGGATAATGTACCCTTTTGTTGTGTCAATGCTAAACATCCACAGCTTTCCCCTTTGTACTCCTATATTTGACCATTCGGTGCTTAATAGATAAAGGATTATTGCATGCATTGCGAGCAATGAAATGTACTTATTCAAGTACACCTTTCAGAGTGCGCTCGACTTGAATGACTCAGCACGAGGTTTTTTGGATTTTTACGGTTGTTTAGATCTTTATGTGGACAATAAACGCTAGCAAATCATGGACGAACAAGTGAGTAATCTATATTTAAAATTTTATAACGAAAATATCTTTAATAACAGTGGCGGATCCAGAACTTTTCATAAGGGGGGGCGCTGACTGACCTAAGGGGGGGCCCGCTCCAGTCATGCTTCAGTGATTCCCTATATAATCAACCAAAATTTTCCCACAAAAGGGGTGGCCCGGCCCCCCCCCCCCCCTGGATCCGCCTATGAATAAAGTCTCATGTTTTTCTGGCAAAAATCTGGGCTTTATTTACCACCAAATCCCAATTTTCTATTAAATGCAATGAAACATTTAACAGTATCGCTTTGAAAAACGTTTCCCATTTGTATATATATATATATATGTATTTTTACACGTTTTGATATTGGAGCACTTTAGTAATATACAGGCCTACAGAAGAGGTAATTAACCTTTAAACATTGCATGGTTAATGAATTTTTACTGAGCTGGTTCGATACTATAGCATACTTGACCCTGAGCAACTAAATGAGCATTGGTGTCAGTGTTTAAAAGAAAAAATAGAATAATAAAAAAAAAATATGCAAACATATAAGATCTTTGTAGAATGGCCTGGAAGAAGATTGACCCTCCGTTAACTATTAGTTTACATATTGAATACGAGACTGGTTCAACTATATCAGATGTATAGTGTAACCTTGACTTCCTTTTCATTGGTCAATATTCAGTTTTCATGATTAGGCCTATTGTTGCCCTCTTTTGGTTGATTTTGGCGTTGGGTTGCTATCTCATTGACGTATACCCTATACATCTCCTTTTATTCGCAGAGTTGCTGTCTCATTGACGTATACCCCATATCTTCTTTTATTCACTGTGTTGTGGTCTCCTTAACGTGTAACCCACATCTCTTTTTATTCACTGTGTTGCGGTCTCATTGACATATACCCAATGTCTCCTTTTATTAACTGTGTTATTGTCATATTGAGGTATACCACACATCTCCTTTTATTAACTGTATTGCTGTCTCATTGACGTATACCCAACGTCTCCTTTTATACGCAGTGTTAGTTACTGTGTCATTGACGTATACCACACATCTCCATTTAATAGCAGTGTTGTTGTGTCATTGACGTATACCCGACGTCATCTTTTATTCGCAGTGTTGTTGTGTCATTGACGTATACCCGACGTCTCCTTTTATACGCAGTGTTACTGTGTCATTGACGTATACCCCACGTCTCCTTTTATACCCAGTGTTACTGTTTCATTGACGTATACCCCACATCTCCTTTTATTCGCAGTGTTGCTGCGTCATTGACGTATAACCCACATCTCCTTTTAATCGCAGTGTTGTTGTGTCATTGACGTATACCCGACATCACCTTTTAAACACAGTGTTACTGCGTCATTGACGTATACCCAACATCTCTATTAATACGCAGTGTTACTGTGTCATTGACGTATACCCCACATCTCCTTTTATTCGCAGTGTTACTGTCTCATTGACGTATACCCCACGTCTCCTTTTATACGCAGTGTTATTGCGCCATTGACGTATACCCCACATCTCCTTTTATACGCAGTGTTATTGCGCCATTGACGTATACCCCACATCTCCTTTTATACGCAGTATTACTGTGTTATTGACGTATACCCCACATCTCTTTTTAATCGCAGTGTTGTTGTGTCATTGACGTATACCCGACGTCACCTTTTATACGAAGTGTTACTGCGTCATTGACGTATACCCCACATCTCCTTTTATTCGCAGTGTTGCAGTGTCATTGACGTATACCCGACGTCTCCTTTTATACTCAGTGTTACTGTGTCATTGACGTATACCCCACGTCACCTTTTATACGCAGTGTTACTGTGTCATTGTCGTATACCCCACGTCACCTTTTATACGCAGTGTCACTGTGTCATTGACGTATACCCCACATCTCCTTCTATTCGCAGTGTTACTGTCTCATTGACATATACCCCACATCTCCTTTTATACAGTGTTGCTGCGTCATTGACGTATACCCCACATCTCCTTTTATACGCACTGTTACTGCGTCATTGACGTATACCATACATCTCCTTTTTTACGCAGTGTTGCTGCGTCATTGACGTATACCCGACGTCACCTTTTATACGCAGTGTTACTGTGTCATTGACGTATAACCCACAACTCCTTTTATACGCGGTGTTACTGTGTCATTGACGTATACCCACATCTCCTTTTATTCGCAGTGTTACTGTCTCATTGACGTATACCACATATTTTTTTTATTCTAATATATTTGACCTTTTACTTACAGTTACTGAGAAGCTGACATAAGCTCATAAATTCAATATTTGCAGATAATAAAAATGGGGCAGAGGACTCTTGACACAGAGACCTCTACTATATTTTCCATACGTGTGTCACTTGTAAAGTAGGAACTGCTGTCCCTTCCGGAAAACGAATTCACCCCCGTTTCTTTGTGGGGTTGGTGTTGCTCAATAGTAAGTTTTCTCTAATATTTTGTGGACTGTTGACTTTCCGTTGTTTTTTCTTATTGGCCATGGTATTGTCTGTTTATTCGACTTATGGTTTTTGATTGCCCCCTTTTTTTATTCATTTTTCTTTAAAGTAAACCTGTGACTTGATCTGATTTAAAGCAGACCTGTGACTTGATCTGATATTTAAAGCAGACTTGATTTGATCTACAGATGAAAACTACCTTCAACTGATTTTGTTAAGTCATAAAATCATAAAAATGGCCAGGGGCGAAAAATTAGACCAAATACCATATATAAGGCATGTATACGAAATACATATGAATCCAGGTCTACATGTATATATACACATCGTTTCCTAGTCCTAATTGAGGGCTTGTTATGTATATACAAGCGTCGAAGGAGATTCATTAATGTCACTTGATAATTATGTTAATCATTTGAAATTTTAAACGATCAAACATAAGAAAAAATAGCTTTCAAATATACTTTTTCAGCTTTTTTGTGGGGTCATTGAGCAATATTTTGGTTATATTGGTGGTAGTTAGTAAGTGCCAGTCATCAGTAATTCAGATCGGAAAGTAACTGTACAAGTACCCAAAGTTTGGTAGCAGTTCATACTATGATGGAAGTATTACATATCAAGGAGGTTGTATTCGGAAGGAGAGTGCACACCCAATTTGATATTAAATTAACCTCCCCAAGATATAGATTAAAAACTATAAAAAATATATAAAGAAAACAGATAAAAATCTCTTTATTAACAATGCTATAAAAAAGCTTGACAAAATAATTGATATGCGCGAGGTATGAATAAATTATATTCTTAAACCATCAAATCAAAGTATCTAAATATATTTCATACTTTTATTCTATCGCCCATATAATAATAATAATAATATTTAAATGATAACCATGGATAAATTCATAATCATTCATGTGTGTTGTATTGAGCCACGCGTCTATTGTCTACTGGGGTGTGTATGATGCTACAAAAATGTATACGTCATAGAAAAAAAAATCATATTTTTTACAAAAGTAATTTTTACAAAACAAAAAGGATAGCTGCAAACGTATTTAAAAACTTTACAGTAAAAACCGTTTTGATGCATCAAATCTATTCTTCTATTTTTGACGTCATATTAAATATATTTAAATAATTTTTTCACGATGAAATACAATTGACCAGCTCATGTATTCGTTGTAATCTAATTTAAATGAATGTGGATAGAGCATGCTCGATGAACCGAATGACGAATGTGGAGTTGCTTCACGCAGATTCTTGTGCTCTTTTATAATCGAACACGCTTCCACGTCCAACATGAGAGGAGGACAACTTTATTTTAACTTCTGTATTAAACTTTCGTCTCTTTGCTCTGTGGGTTGCTTCGGGTTCATCGGGATCAGCTGGACCAAAACCTCCACCACCGGGGGTTTTCAGTAAAAACACATCCTAAAACATATAGAGAAAATAAAGTTCATATTCCATCAATGATGCACTAGCATATTTGCTATCAGTGGATTAGCGAAAATAGTTGTGTTTAGAAAGCAAGACATTTAATGTACAAGTGTTATTATCAAAACATTTTGAATTAAAATATGTATAATAAATTACAACTCATTTTACCCTAAAATTGATTAATATCATTAAAAATATCATAGGCTCATCCTACCTAGCGAAACATAATGGGACGGAGGGACTCAGTAGCAAAAAAGAATAAACTAAAAAAAATGACATTTTCTTTGGAAAACGGATGTTACGCACCAAATATAAACTGGGCTGTGCATTCAAAACACCTTTTTCATATGGCTCGATAATCATCTACCGTATAATTCTGCCAAGAGAGACTGTGCGTAGGCAAAAACAAAAAAAAAACAAAAAAAAACTAAGATATATTTCCGCTCAATGTGGAGCATGAAATTTTAAGAAATTAGAAAAATGGGACAAGAGATTCATATTATTAGAAAAAATTAAACCTTAATTGAAGTTTTAAATTCTTGTAATTATCAATTATTAATTCATCTTTTATGAGTAGTTCTGTTATATACTCCAATAGCGTCAACAATGCTAACAATTTAGAAAGTTATCCATTTTCTTCAGTCTGTTTCTCATTATATATATGATAGGTACTTAGAAAAATGACAGAAATGAATATAAAAAACAAACATACTTAAATGCTGAAAGAGTGCTGTCATTGTAAGAATGTGAATATCAAGAAAATTCTGATGTCTACACTAAAACTATCAAAGAAAATGACGCATCGTATCACATCTCTATTTCATATTGATGACAGATTGTGCAACACAAATCTTTGATGTGACCACCCGTACAGATTATGTAACTTAATAAACCAAAGAAATTTTTAATCTGGTGCAAAATAACATATTGCATATAAATGCAAAGATTTTTTAGTAACAAATGCAGTTGTTTACTGATTTAATGTAACTGTAATGGACTTCATTCAAATTCACTACATTTAACTGCATGGCAGTCGGGTGAGATATTTTCGTTCAAGAAAATTAAATATTATCCATGGTTTTTTTTCGTTTTTATTTTTGTTTTGTTTTGTTTTTTTGTTAGTTGGTTTATAAGTCGGGGGAGGAAGAGGTTGTGTATTACAGGGAACGTATTTACCCATACATCTATAGTGTGCCATACCAATTTACCAAATGGTATATGTAAGAAGCGTCCTACATGTTTATGGCCCCACCGTCATTATACTCTGTAGATATAATTCATATTTTGTAAGATCAGAAACAAAACACAACAACAGCACACCCTATCGAAAAATGAGGTTCAGAATCAAAGGAATTGATGGATAGTTGGAGAATCGTAAACAAAGCAACCTGAATTTACTGAGAATTGTATAGATTTATTCCATGTAAATTAAAGGTTCACATTCAAGCTGTAGACTACGGTAACTATCAGCCCTTTCCTTTTTAGTTGTACTGCAAAATAATTTATAACACTAGACTACTCATGTTTAAATCTGAAACCGGAAAATTGTGCTTAATTCGGGTGCAAATGTTATATTTTAATATACAATGAAATTCTATTTGAAACTTTCACAGGGTTGCAAGAAAGTGACATGAAGTTCAGACAAGTATATCGATATATTATTTTACAAGTCTTAATTGAAAACAACGTTCAAACCTATGATTGCGTTGGATAAAAACCGCAATTTATATACGTGTGCATGCAACACAAATTTCTTCGTAGAGTGGTCTAAATACAGCACAAACAACATTTTCCAATGGACCAAAAAAGTGAAAAAAGTATATTTTAACAAAACGCATTTGACTAGCAGGTCGAACAACGGATGTTCTTAAACCTTGCTGATATATTATTTTAAATAAATAATAAAAAAGTTAAATTTTCGAAAGAGTAATATAGGAAGTTTTGCAGTGATAGTCCATATCCACGAATACATTAGGTCTACTACATTCTGGTCACCAAATTGATCAGACTCATGTACAAAAAATTTTAAACCAATGAAAATGTACGGATTGCTCCAACTTTATATAACTATGAAAAACAGGACTTGATCATTCAATAAACCATCACCTGGATTTTGTAACAAGGTAAAGCATTCAAAATTTAGAACCGTTTGCGCACAAATGTGCCCTGTTTAATACCAAAATGAGCAGTAATGTAATGAGCTAGCCCTATATATATATATCGAGTTTCATCATGACCTAGTCATTCTAAGGCCAACATGTGAAAATTCAAGTCGGAAGGAGAACGTAAAACAGAGATGCATGCAGATGCCAAGTAATGAAAATTGCGCGTATGGTCCTTCGATATAGCAGACCTAATAACTAATGTTATTTATTTAAACATTACATACAAATTTACACTATTTTCGTTTCAGTTATTTGATATACTGCACGGTTTAAATATCGATAAAACTGTTATACAGGCGCCCAAAACATTAAAAATAATTCCATTTTACAATCTAATTTTCTTTTTCCGTGATATTTATTTTTATGAGTCGATACAAAGAGGCTGTAAAACGTACGTTCCGAATTTAGAACTGTAACTTCGTATTGAAACCCTTCAAACCAGTTGTAAAATCTAATTTGCATGTGAAGAGTCTACAGTTATTAAACTTGTTCTGTTACAGTCTTCTTTTGCTTCAACGTTGATTACAACAGTATTAAGAAACAATTGGTTTACCTTTGTCCTCTGCTAAAGAAATTTTAAAGCTTGACAACGTTTAAAACCTGTCCATCAGTTTAATCATATCAAGGTAGATTTATTTTAATTTTCATAGAACGTTTTTAAAGGGGCATTAGCTGTCAAATTCATGTTCACCGATTTGACTCAAATTCTCATATTTGATTTAAAACATACTAAAACGTATATCCAAATTACAAAAAGTCTAAAATAAACGATTGACAATGCATGGACTCGATAATATGTATCAGAATTTCGTGTGTATTTTTGTCTATAGTGCCTAACAAGATTTTGACCTTAAAACGATCGTATTGAATTTTGATGTCCAAAAATAGGCAGATCGGACATATTTTGACTATATTTACTGACTACTTTTGTTTGGGATTAATTGTAATTATAACATTATAATGAGATTGAAAAAGTTTTTTTTTGTTAAGATAAACAATAATTTTACCTGGCGCAGCCGTGCGTAAAATGTATATCGGTATTTCTCGTCGAAAAATGACTTGTTTAATGGAATACAACGTCTGATTTGTAAACTTTCTCTTTTTTCTCCGGAATAGGCGATTAAAAATAATATATCTACTCTATATGTGGAATATTTTGTGAGAATATAAGAAGTGGCAATTCTTACCTTTCATTGATAAAAAATAATATGGACTGGTCCAGTGTCCAGTTTGAAGGTCATTTAAGTTACTGTACACATTCATTCACGTTCCGATTTAATCAATATACATGTATGAAAAAAATAAACAGTTTGAAGGAAAACTAATAATAACTTAATCCAATCGAATTGCGTAAAATTCAATAACAATGACCGGTCCACATCATAAAAAGTAATAGGGGTAAACTGGGAAGATATTTTAAGTTAATTTTTTGCAATAACGAATAAAAATTGTCATCCAAAAGTTTTGCTATAATTTCAAAAACATGTCGTTCTATATTGGTATAGTTTTCGGATCTTTCATTTGCGTATTTAAGGCAATAGAAAGTTTGGGCTTCAAAATTCTACACAATTATTGACTTTATACAGAAAATTCTCCCTTTTAAAACATTTTATGTTTCACAACTAATACATGGATACAAAGTAAAATCATTTTTTAAAACGCTGCAAAAAAAATTCATTCTGAATGGTATAGCGGTATTGTACTAAAGTGCGTTGAAATGAAGCGTGGTATAGCAAACATCGAATTCCCTCATTAACCATTGAGATGACCTCCAAAGACTGCCGACGGTCATATGATCCGATATAAACATAAGTATAAATATAAATAGATAGCGACCACGTGCAATTGGATTTTTCTTGGTCTGTTTGATTTCATATTGTAGGTTAAAAAGTATGCTCATTGTCGTTTTTACCTGTATGTGAATGATTTTTTTGTGGATCGAATCAGTCAACCAAATGGTTAATCCTTGTTTCCCTTTCAACGTTGACATTCTTTTCCTGTTAATAGCTGACTACATGCGTAACCCATCTCCAGCTAAGGGTTTAAATTGAAGGTCACATGAATACGGATTCAATGAGGTCGAATTATTCACTTGCAAGTGAATAATTCATCAGCGATGTTTCTTGGCTTGATTTGACAAAATTGAACCAAACTGGCTGCTAAAAGCGAATAATTATTTCACTATTTCACTTTCATTATTGATTGATAAAAAATAAAATTATATCTCGTAACTTGTGCTCCTTTAAAACACAAATCAATAGTGCGCATTTTGTAAGGATTTTAATTTCATGGAATTTCACATGTGTGTACCATATATACACGATACAAAACATGCAAACAAACAATGAAATACTAATTGCTATGCAGGCATACTTTGTTAAGACGATTTTTGATCTTTCATTGCAGTTACATCAGATCTTTCACATATTAAATTTTATCTGGATTTTTCATTTTTCATTTTTCAGTTTCCATGTATAATAAAGCATAAAAAATCCCAATCAAAAGAATGAGAACATTGTTTGGCTTTTGGCAAACGTATTATTTATCTTTTTCTTACTTCCTTTTAGCTGTGCGGGATGTATAAATACGCAGTCACGCCCGGTCGGAATGGAGACATTAAATTCGTTGGCCCCAGGGGCGGATACAGGATTTAAGGTTAGGTGGGCGCAAAATTCAAAAAAATTTTGAGGTAAAATTATCGAAATAGTCTTCTAGAGTGGGTGCAATGTAGATATCTCGCCAAGCAAAGCGTGGCTAGAAATATTTTGTGGTAAAATTCGCGAGAAATTAAAGTTTCAAGCTAAAACCGCCTAAATCTTTGGGTTGCAA